GCAGGCGCGTCGCTTCGACTATGTCAGTGGAAGTGACCACTGCATATGCTGCCTGTCGGTTTCCTGATTTATCTATAAGGGAACTTCCATCAACTAACAGGGTGAGTTGGGGATCTGTAGGTGGCTGGTCCAGAAGACCAGGCCGGGCTGAGGTTAAAGCCTCTACAGCCTCTGAGAGAGAGTGAGAGGAGGTACCAGAGGGGAAGGGAACAGGAAGGAGAGTTGCATGGTTTAGGGCAGGACTAGAAGCCAAAGTAATTTGGGGGATTTCTAGAAAAAGTAAGTGAAAAGTCTGGATTCATGAAGACCCAAGGAGGGAGAGAGAGGAGTGTCTCAGAAGGTCTGAGAAGCTATGGGTAGAATATACTGTGATTGGTCCAGACAAGGCAATCTTGAGAGCCTCCCAAGTGAGTTCAGCTGCTGCTGCCAGCAGCATGGTTGCCATCAATAGACGGTGACATCCAGCTGTTTGGATAAAAAGGTGACAGCCCAATTCGAAGGCCTAGCCTATTGGGTTAGAATTCCTGTGGCCACTTCTGACCTCTCATCTGTATGGAGATGGTAAGGCTTTGTGGGGTCTGGAAGAACAAGGGCAGGAGCTGTTAGAAGGCATCTCACAGTAGAGAGAAGTGGCGATGGACGATGGCCGGGTGGGTGAGAAGGTTCCTTGGGTGTCTCTTTAGCTGCCTGGTACAGAGGCTTGGATGTAATAGAAAAGTTAGGGATCCAGTGGTGAAAGAACCCCAACAGACCCAAAAATGAGAGGATCTGATCCCCTGTGGTTGGAGGCTGTAAATCCCGCAATACCTGAACCCTGTCAGAGGTGAGGGTCCTAAACCCCAGGCTAGGTTGAACACCCAAATATACCACTGTAGGAGAGCATAGCTGAGCCTTATTTGGTAAAACTTGATACCCCAGGGATTTGAGGAAGTTAAGGAACACAGAGGTGGCCTGTTGGGACAGACAATGTAGAACTGCAGAAAAGTTGGTCATCCACATACTGAGGAGAGTGCTGGACCCCGTGTCAAAGTTTGAGAGATCTGAAGCCAGAGCTTGGCCAAAGAAATAGGGGCTGTCTCGAAAACCTTGAGAGAGAATAGTCCATGTGAGCTGTCTGGAGGACCGGGAGTCAGGGTCCTCCCATGTGAAGGCAAAGAGGAAGTATAAGTCAGGGTGTAAAGGGACAGTAAAGAAGGCATCTTTTAGGTCTAGAACTGTAAAGTAGGAGGTAGTAGGAGGGACATTAGACAGGAGATTGTAAGGGTTGTTAACCACTGGGTGAATTGGAACGACTGCCTCACTTATGAGGCAGAGGTCTTGAACTGGATGGTAAGCGCCAGAGGGCTTATGCACAGGAAGAATTGGAGTGTTACAGGGTGAGTCAATAGGAATTAAAAGTCCTTGAGGTAGGAGACGGTGATAATAGGCTTAAGGCCTCTGTGGTGGGTTTCAGAAATAGGAAACTGGGGTCTGAAAGGGAAGGATGAAGGGTTGTTAAGGTAAACTAGGACTGGCTGGTGGTGAGTAGCAATCACAGGAGTAGAAGTGTCCCATACTTGGGGATCTACTGGATAAGGGAGTGTAGGGACAGTACAGTCTGGGGTAGGAACCTGTGAGGCTGTTAAAGTAAGAAGAAAGTGTGACTCAGGAGCGTGTGTGGGGGCTAAAGTGAGTGTGGCCCTGAAGCAGCTAAGGATATCTTGACCCAGGAAAGGTTCTGGGAAAGCAGATATCACTAAGAAAGAATGAGAGAAAAAATTGTCCTGCAAGAATGCAGAGCAGTGGCAAAGTTTTAAGTGGGGAGGAACGGGTCCCATCTACTCCTATAACTGAAATTGGTGAGGGGAGCATAAAGCCCGAGTGAGATATTAGAACACAATAGGTAGCTCCCATGTCCAAAATAAAAGTAATGGACTTACCTGCTATCTGTAGCTTTACCCTAGGCTCACATAGGGTTATGGGATATACCAAGTCTGGGCAGCGTCAATCCTCTGCAAGGCTGAGAAGTTCGAAGGCTGGCACAGTTTCACTTGCCAATGTTGCCAACACCCCTGGCTATACAATGTGTTGAAAGTCAACCTAGATCAAGTGAGACCCTACCTTGGGTAGGGCTTCCTTTTTCTCTCAGCAACTGCTTTCAAGTGTCTATGATCTGTGCTGGGTACCACAGATACAGAAGGAAGCCATGGAACATTGAAGAAGACGAAGAAAAAACACTATGGTTTCCTGAAGGAAACAGGCATCTTACAAATTTAGACTGAATTACAACTATGAGAATGTGCCTAAAGGAAAACTTAGGGAAGGTCTAACTGGGATTAAATGATCCTGCACATAAAGCAGTTATGTCACATTGTAAACACCTTGCCCAGGAAAGACCTTACCAAGAAAGGGGAGGCTACACTGACACCGAAGCTGCAATCGGGACCTTGAAAGGGGAAACCTAAGACCAGGATCCACCAGACCAGAGTCTAAGAGTCTAAGAGTGCTACAAATTTCTGGGATGACTTGCAAACCTCTCTCTCTCTCTCTCTCTCTCTCTCTCTCTCTCTCTCTCTCTCTCTTATCTGGAATTGTGGTAAGGCATCTTTGACTCTAGCCTCCAACAAAAGAGAAAACTCCCAGATAAAAATGAGCATCTTGCCACCATTGTAGTCATTTTATCATTTTAACAGCAGTGTGACCATCCTATAACCTTCTGATAGTGTGTTTATGTTCCCCAATAATCCTAGCCTCTGGTTTCTTGCCTAGCAAAATTTAATAGAAATGACATTCTGTATTTAGAAATTTGAAAATGGATAACTTGTAGTTACTATCTCTAGATATATTTGCTTTTAAAAGCAGTTTCCAAGTCAAACATTATGCCACATACTTTTAATCCCAGCACTAGGGAGATAGAGGAAGATGTCTGTGAGTTAGAGACCCATCTGGTCTACATAGTTCATTCCAAAGCATCCAGTCTCCTGATGAGATACTGCTTAAAAGCAAACAAATAAGATTTCCAAGTCATCATGAAGCCCAAGCTTCCAGCCCCATTGGGATCAGCAATGTTTAGCATCATAATGCCAATTCCAGTCCTTCCAGTCATCAGAGGGTGGTCTAGCCCAGGTAAAATGAAAGACGGTGTACAGGAGAGGCTGTCAGAATCCTACAAACTCTCTTATTTTAAATGAGTAGGCAGAACAAATAACTGCTGTATAATAAGTTGAAATTTTGAGGATTGTTACTTTCATAATTACAAATAATTCTTCCACGTACATTCTTATTAGCTCCTGAGTTCTGTACAAAGTGAGTTCTTTGGAGATGTTCTGTTTACACCAGCATCTCCACCAAGCAGATGAAGGAGCATCATACTGACTCAGCTTAGTGTGGGCTTGTGAAAATGAGTGTCCTGCTATAATCTCATTTTTGTGTGGCAGTTTTATGAAACCCATTACTGTGCACTTGTAAAATGAAAATTAAGACATATGTGTGTATTGTTCCCAATCATATGTTAAGTTAATGAACTGCATCATGATTCTTATTTTAAAAAAATGAGTGTCTTAGGTAAAAGAGGCTTGGTGGGATAAACAGATTAAATGCTCCAATTAGTGAATTTTAAGGCATATAACTATCCACTATGAAACAGAGTAGAGAAACAATTATTTTATTTATATGGGTGTTTTTGTCTGTGCACCACACTCATGCCTGGTGTCATAGAGACGAAAAAGAGGCATCAGATTGCCTGAAACAGGAATCGCAAACAAGTATGAGCTGTCACGTGGGTGCTCAGAATCGAATCTGGGTCCTCTGAAAGAGCGGTGCTTTTAACCCATCCCTGAACCAGCTCTCCAGCTCTATGCAGATTCTTGTTCACTTCTTCATTTTTGGTTTTTGAGACAGAATCTCACTAGGTAGCCTTGGCTGAGCTGAATTTACTATGTAGACCAGGCTAGACGAGAACTCAGATCCTCCTACCTCTGCCGCCCAAGTGCTGTGTAGACTACCCCCAACCGGATAAAATATTTGTTTACATAGACTGCTGCCTTCTCTGAACTTAAGCAACTTGTCTTAAAGAGCCAACCCCTTCCATTTTCTCCATAATTATTGTTTTAAAATTAAGCCAATCGCCGGGCGGTGGTGGCGCACGCCTTTAATCTCAGCACTCGGGAGGCAGAGGCAGGCGGATCTCTGTGAGTTCGAGTCCAGCCTGGTCTACAAGAGCTAGTTCCAGGACATGAACCAATAAAGGCTACGGAGAAACCCTGTCTCGAAAATAATTTTAAAAAAAATTAAGCCAATCATGATAGACTCCAGGCAATTGGGGGAGGGTGGTTTCTGCCACCTGTCCCTGTGTAGCTTGCTAGCCATGGGTGGGTCTTGGTGCATTCTTTCAACAAAAAGAATTGCCTTGCTGAACTGCTCCCCTTGTTTCCTTGTTCCCTTGTGAGATTTCTGTTTGTCTAGCAATCCCCAGCACAGAATGAACAACACATCAGTGAATCATTGGATAGTCTTTAAAGAGGCTCCCATCAGACAGTTCAGGCTAACTCTATCAAATCAGTCCAGTTGTACTCTCTTTGAAAGAGACGGTTCTTGCAAAAGTAAAAGTTGAAACACATTCTTTTCAGTACACAGATCCGTGCGGGGACACACACACACACACACACAGAGTGCAACTGAAGAGTGTGTATATTAAATAGAAGGGACTGACCTTTTTTTGTTGTTGTTGTTGCTGTTCTTTTGTTTGGTTGTTTTTTGTTTGTTTTGTTTTTGTATTTTGAGCTAGACAGGGCTTCTCTGTGTATCCCTGGCTGTCCTGGAACTCGCTCTGTTGACCAAGTTGGCCTCGGATCCAGAGACCCACCCGTCTCTGCCTTCTAAGTACCCGGATTAAAGGCGTGCGCCACCACCGCCCGGAGGGACTGACAATTTTAAACGTGCAAATGCCCTGCACCGGAAGGAAGACCGTACTTCCACACCAGCAACCGGCTCCCAAAGGTCATTCACTCCTGTCTGCCCGAGGTGCTGAGCCTTTCGCAGGGTGGAGCGCTAATTGCCTGGGGACTCGAACTAAAGGCGTCAGCTAACGCGCCGTGCTTGTGCAGGAGTCCCTGCTAGAGGGAACCGCGACAGGGAGCCGGGCGCAAAGCGTCCCGGAACCAACGGCGGGCGGCGGGGAGTCGGTCCGCCCGGGCTCGGGGAGGCGCTCCGGCGGCGTGCGGCTCCGCCCTCCACCCGCCTCCACAGTTAATAGTCCGGAGCCAGCGTGTCGGCGTGTGTGGTTATGCCGCTCTTTCTGGCTGAGAGGACACAGCGGCGTCCTGCCCTGGCCTGAGCGATGCTAAGAAGCTGCGCTACGCGCCTGCGCGCTCTTGCTGTTCCGCCTGCGAGGAGGCCCAGAGCAGTGTGGGTGAGTCCCAGGTCGCCCCGGTGAGGGTGCGAGCGGGAGGGACAGCGATCCTCTGCTGTAACGGGCACCGGCTCCTCAGCCCTGAGACTCAAATCGGGAGGATCGGGAAGGGAACGTAACTCGAGGTTGAGATAGGTCAGCAGGGATAGGACCGCCACTGCTACTGAAATAATAATAATGGTTAGCAAGATCATCCAGAAAAGCCGTGAAAGAGCCAGCCATTATAGACCGCTGGAGAAGAGCACTTACCCTTTCCAGGATCTAATCCTGATGGTCTCTGATTTATTATAACCAACAGGGGAAAAGGCTTCCCACTGTCAGATAATCAATTATGCCCTCTCTAGCCCATTTTCATCATCTTAGAGGATGTTATAAGGTTAAATGAGATAATGCAAGGGAAGCGTATAGCATGCCTGGAATGTAAGTCTTAAATAATCCCCTGCCCTTATTTATATCCCTACTTTGTTTCACTGATGCAGTCAGTACTTGTTGAGCTCCAACAATATTCCAGGCATTTTTATGCTCAGATCCGCAGAGTCCCCCCAAAACCAACAAGGAGACCGAGTCCCATTTGTAAAACCAAAGAGCCTTTATTCTTATTCAAGTTCGAACCCCGACTCTCCTGTCCAGCGCATTGGCATGAGCAGAGAACCCCCGAGGTCAATTGGGGTGGGGTTTTTTATAATAGCAGAGGTTGAGGTGAGGGATTTCTAAGGTTGAGCACCCGTGATTGACTGACATTTGTCTAGGGGTGCCCTGGTGAAAAGGGGATAGGTATGTGCTGTACTAAGGGACATCAGATGATCCTATCTGCAATGGTTGGGACCATCCTTTGGATGGTCTGTTCCTGGGTGGTGTCTGAGTGGTCTCTGTTGAGCCTGTCATGGCTGGGCCCTACAGGCATAATTGGCCATTGATAAGAAGTAAGACATATTACAGTTAGGTAAGAAAAAAGGAAAAAAAAAATTCCTCCTAAGGATTTTATGGTCTAGTTTGGGAGAATGGGGTCAGTTTGCTAAATTCAAATGCCTCAATTTTTGTTAAAATAAATGACTGAGGGACAACAGGGAACAGCTCTCCACTGAGCAAGAACTGAAAGCGAACTTTGATTGTTAGATGGCTGTGGCATCTCTCTCAAGCTGCTGCAGCTTCCTGCTAGATTGAAAGTGGGCGCTGAAGGTGTAGCTCAGTGGTGGACACGGACACACACGTACACACAATTTTAAGAGAATAATGAATGCAGATTATTAATCAGGTACCATCTTGCCCACTAGAAAGGAAAATGCACTGTGCTAATTATACAACCACAAAGGTGAATTAGTTTCTTTAGTTACACGTTGGTGCCTGGCAGTCTGTGCTGTAAACAATTAAGCGTTAGTATTTATAGGCTCGACATCTTTAAGGAGGCATAAAAGGCCATAACTTTTCTTACAAGTCCAACCTTGATAAATCTGTAACTAAAGATCAAGCATGACCTTTCCTCTACTGAGAACAAAGGGTAACGACCCTTGGATTCATCCTTCAGTCACAAGTGTGCAGTAGGTTTACAAGTGCATTTACGGCAAGTAGCTCTTAGTTCTCGCCTCTTTGAACTGAAAGCTGAGTGGTTTTGTCCATCTAAGGTAACTCAGCATCCCTCAGACCCATTCTCTCTGACCCACACTTCCACCCTCACAAACACCTTTTTCTTCTAACCTTGCCATCAAAGCCACAACTCTGGAGTCACCCAAGACTCTAGTACTTTCTGTTTCCTGAAGTCAGTAACTCCCGTTTCCCTGGGTTCTGGTGCTGACTGTCACTTGAACCTTTTCTTCTTATTCCTCCGTACCTAACTCTGCTGTGGACCTTCTGACCTAGACCTTTATAACGATCTCTGGCCGCTTTCCCTTTCCTTCTCATTGTTTTTTCACTTGATGAAACTTTCTGAAAACCAATGTTGTTTCTTTGCTGAAGGCTCATCATGGAAAAAGGCATTTCAACACTCAAGTATCGCCTTCGTGGAATGTCTTTTACTTAAAAAAAGAAGAAAAATAGTTTTAAATTTTCTGTGTGTTGTCTCATGTGCTACTCATGTTCTTCTGTGATATATATACAGAAAGGATTTTATTATTACTATAATTACATATTATGTTATACATAATATTTAAATATACATCAGTCTTTGTCCTTGTGCTACCTAAAATCACCTTTCACACTAATTCTTTAAACCATTGATTGACCTAGAAGGTTAAATTTAAGACCTGTGGTGTGATCCGCTTGTTTTGTCAATCTAGTGTGTTATGTAGTCTTTTTAGCCTCTATGTCTTTGCTTAGTGTAACCCTAGTTCTCACCTTCACGAGCTTTAGCTGCAAGAAATTACTCTGGGTGTGTTGTTTTTGTTGTTGTTGATGTGTGTTGTTTGCTTATTTGCTTTTAAGTATTCCCTGAAAGCACTTGTCTCTCTGTCTGTAGTAATATTTCCAGATCTGGGGCTCCTAACACCTGCAGGCAGGGCCTAGATCTTTTCTTTTTGTCTTTCCTGTCCCTGGTATAAAAACAGGCCACATTATAGAACTCAAGAAAATTTTTTGAATTATGTTTAAAAGTTAAAATCAGACTGGGTATGGTGGAATACACCTTTGATTCCAGCACTTAGGAAGCAGAAACAGGCAGAGCTCTGTGTGTTCCAAGACAGCCTGGTCTATGCCAGCCTGGTCTACAAAGTAAGCTCCAGGCCAGCCTGGTCTACAAAATGAGGCACTGTCTCAAACAGAACAGCTACATAGTGAGACACTGTCTCAAAAAAAACAAAAAACAACAACTTACATTGGTAGGAGAGCCCAGGAGTTCTTATGATTACTAAAAGACTTCAATTAACTGTATTTCACTAGCCTATAAAAGGATATTAGAACTGTTCCAAGCTGGGGCTTCCTATTTAAGAGATCTGAGTGGAGCCAAGACATTTTGAAGACGCCATGACTAAGGCCCCTTATAGAAAAAGGCATATATTTGGGGTTTACAGCTCTGGAGAGCAAGTTCATAACCATCATGGTAGGAGGCATGGCTGCAGGCAGGCATCGTGCTGCAGCAGTAGCTGAGACCTTATTTCCTTACTGCAAGTAGGAGGCAAAGAGAGTTAACTGGGAATGATGTGAGCTTTAAAGTCGCAGAGTCCTCCCCCAATGACACACCGCCTCCAATAAAACCATACCTCCTAATCTTTCCCAAATAGCTTTACCAACTGGGAACCACATATTAAAATATATGAGCCTGTAGGGTCCATTCTCATTCAGTCACCCTGCTCTTCCAGAGTACCTCATGGGATGGCTCACAACTGCCTGCAGCTCCAGCTCCAGGTGAGCCAACACCGTCTTCTGGTATCCACAGGTACCTGCACACACATTGCCTACACTCACAAAGACACGTACACAGAAATGAACTGAGCGTGGCCATTTGAGTGTGTAACACTGTGGCAGGTAGCGATAGTAGGATCCCCAGAGCTTTCTGGCCACCAGCCTAGTTCCAAGTTCAATGAAAGAGCCTATCTCAAAGGTATAACAGAGCAGGACGTGAGATTTCCTTCACATGTATGTCAAGCACACCCAAGCAGACACATGCACATATACCATACGTCTACACACACATATGGTAATAAGACTAAGAACACAGAAAAGTGAATACTAAATCATTTTAAATGGCAACACAGAGAAATTTATTTCTCAGATTAAGAGTATATTAAGGAAACTTTTATTTGAAGAACTCTGGGAATTAAAAAAAGCTAATGTCAGCCGGGCTGTGGTGGCGCACGCCTGTAATCCCAGCACTTGGGAGGCAGAGACAGGTGGATCTCTGTGAGTTCGAGGCCAGCCTGGTCTACCAAGGGAGTTCCAGGACAGGCTCCAAAGCTACAGAGAAACCCTGTCTCGAAAAACCAAAAAAAAAAATAAAAAATAAATAAATAAATAAAAATAAATAAAAAAAGCTAATGTCATAGAAGCAGAAAGTACTGGTTGCTAGAGACTAGAAAGGGGAGAGATAAGTAAGGGTGGAAGGAATATAGAGGCTGAATAACCAATATCGAAATATAGTCACATGAGTATAAACACCACAGCACAGGTGGGTGGTGGTTACAGTTTACAGTGGTTTATTATGTAGAGGTATGTTCTTGGGGGGGAGGGTCAAATTGGTATCCTACCACTGAGCTGTATCTCCAAGCCCTATTATAGAGTTGTGTGGCGCACTCATCACATTCGTACAGAACCCAGGGCAGGCTGTCAGGTAGCCCTCCTTTATCACTCTGCACCTTACTTTTGCCTTAAAACAGAGGCTTTCATTGAACTAGAAACCGGATATTTTGGCTAGGCTGTCTGGCCACCAAACTCTTGGGGATCTACCTGTCTCCACACTCTCAGTGCTGGGGTTACAGGCACATTCAGCCATGGCCAGCTTCTGTGGGTGCGGGGATTTACACTCAAGTCCTTGTGCTTGCAGACAAACACCTCTCACCCACAGAGCCATCTCCAAGCCGTCGCCCCAAACCCCTACTATATAGTTTATACAGGAAAAGAAAGGCACTTGAAAGTTACTAGAACGAAGAAATGTTAAATGTTTAAAGAGATGAAAATGTGCCAGGAATGGTGACACACACCTTTAATGCCAGCACGGGAGACAGAGATAGGTGGCTCTCTGAGTTCAAGGTCAGCCTGGTCTACACATTGAGTACCAGGCCAGGCAAGGTTACATATAGTGAGACCTATCCCGAAGTAAATCAATAAGAGAGACAGGGTGGGGGTACTGTGCTTGCAAAATGCAAGTTGGGTAAAGGTACCTGCTCACAATCCTCTAGACATGAGTTTGATCCCACAATAGAAGAAGAGAACAGTTTCCTGCAAAGAACTAGTATGGTGTGATGCACAGCTTTAATCCTAGCACCAGGGAGGCAGAGGCAGGCAGATCTCTGTGAGCTCAAACCAGCCAGATCTACATAATGAATTCCAGGCTATCCAGGTATTGTGGGAGCTGCAGGTTGCATTCCGCCACCCAGCTCCCACCACCGGCTAGCTTTACCCAAAATAACAACACACAAACTGTATTCTTTTAAACACTGCTTGGCCCATTATATCTAGCCTCTTCTCTGCTAACTCTTGCACCTGGACTAGCCCATTTCTAATAATGTGTGTAGCACCCCAAGGTGCGCTTACCGGGAAGATTCTAGCCTACGTCCATCCTGGGTCGGAGTTCATTGCATCTGCCGCAGAGAGGGAAGCGTTGCTTCTGAGCTCACTTCCTCTTCCTTCCAGCATTCTGTTCTGTTTACTCCACCCACCTATGTTCTAAGCTATGAGGCCAAGCAGTTTGTTTATTACTTAACCAATGAAATCAACAGATATATGACACTCCCACATCATTGCTTCATAGTGAGACCTGATCTTATAAATAAATAATAAGACTCTCAGGCTGGACACAGTTGTACATACCTGTGATTCCACATTTGGGAGGCAGGAAGATCACAGATTTTAGGCCGGCTTGGGCTATATAGCAGCACCCTGTCTCAAAAACAAAATGAAATAAAATTTTTGTTTATTTTGTGATTGTATTTTAAATACATTTCTTCCTTTCATTTTACACTGTAAGCCCTCTCATATGATATAGCATGAATTCTAATTGGTCTTAATAATAAAAACCCAGAGTCAGATATTGGGGGGCGGGGGATGAAAGCTGAACGATCAAAGAAGCAGAGTAGCCAGCCATTAGTTCCTATCTCTATGAAATTCTCAGACCTAATGGGGTATTCTGTCTCTACAAGTCATCAGACTGAATGCTCTAAACTCCTGCCTCTTTCCACCTTATATTCCTCTCTCAGCCCAGCCACATCACTCCTGTCTCCACCTCCCTAGTGCTGGGATTAAAGGCACGGGATTCCCGAGTCTTGGGATCAAGACCTCTGTTTCTTTTTTAGACTGATACAATTTTGTGTAGCCCAGGGTGGCCTTGAACTTACAGATCAGTCTGCCTCTGTCTCCCCAGTGCTGGGATTAAAGGTGTGTGCCACCACTGCCTGACCACTATGGCTAACTAGTATGGCTAGCTTTGCCCTCTGATCTTAAAGCAAGCTTTATTTGTTCGATGACAAACTAAATATCACCACAATATACCCTCTTCCCTCTCCTTTAAATTCACCTCTTTTATCATCAGTTGTTCTTGTATGCTTATATGTATTTATATATGCATACATAATCACAGATCTAACTGTCAAGTCCATATAATATTACTAGTATGCATGTTTCAGCACTGACTGTTTGGGACTGGACAACCAATTGGTGTGCTCTTCCCTGGGGAAGACCACCTCATCCTCCCAATCCCAGCTTTACTCAGTTGCCTGTAGTTCTCTGTGGAGGGTTGAAGCCTCTTGGGCTGGTCTCTGTGTAGTTTAGCATGTCCATTGCTGTCATCCTTGTTCAGCTCACATTGGGCAGTCATGTTGAGGCAACATTACTGCTATATACTAAGAAACACAACCTCATGGCAAAGTCCTGGATCCTCTGGCTTTTGCCCTCTTTCCACTCCTTTAAAACTTTTCTCAGTGAAAAGTAAAAGAATAGATAGAGCGTGATTGACTCTTCTGGTGGTCCACCACCCAACTTCCAAATAAATCACACATGGACACTTATTCTTAGTTATAAATGCCTGGCCTTAGCTTGGCTTGTTTCTTCCCAGCTTTTCTTAACTAATTATTCTACCTCTTGCGTGGGCTTCTTACTCCGTGACTGGCTAAGTGGCTGGTCCCTGTCGTCCTCCTTCCCTTGTTCTCTCATTGCTCCTTCTCTGCATCCAGAGATCTCCTATTTATACTCTCTGCCTGCCAGCCTCCGCCCCTTCACCTCCCCCCCCCCCCCCCCCGCTCTTGTCTCACTATTGAATATTTAGCACTTTATTGGGATCATCAGGTGTTACAGGCAGGCAGAGAACCACAGCTTTACATTTGCATAAACAAATGCAGCATAAACAACAGTCACACACCTTAAAATAATGTTCCCCAACAAACAGAAACTTCAGTGGGCATGAGCAGTATAAAAAGAGGGAAAAAATCTGCTGAATGATGTTTACAATTTTGGAACTATGCAAGGTTTTTGCTGCCAGAGGCTTGCCAGGAAAAATATAAAGTGAACTACCTTGGCAGTGTAAACCAGGATGCAGAGCAGTGCATGAAAAGAACTTGCAGGAAATGCATCAATATTATCCCACAATTTTATTTACAGGGAGAAATAATGGGCAGAGTATTTTTCTGCCTTTCCCAGTTTTTCTGTCTTTCCTAGATTATCTAAGCTGGGTTCTGAAGGGATAAGCCGGTCAAAGAGGCATAGAAAATGAAGTTACTTATCCTGAGCTACAGGCAAAATGTTATTTCTGTTTGTTTTCTCGTTTCTCTAATACCACAAAATCAAGTACTTCCATCTCCATGGAAGGGTTGTTGTTGTTTTGTTTTGTTTACATTTTATTTTTTAATAGAAGTCGGAGGACAACTTCGTTAGTTCTCTCCTCCCACTATATAGGTTCCAGGGATCTAATTTAGGTCATCAGGCTTGGTGCAGACGCCTTTACCCAGTGAGTCATCTCACTAATCCAGTGTTTGGTTTCATAGAGTGCTGGGGACAGGCTCCCTCTGTTCTTCCTATTGAATCGGGACTGGAGCCAACTAAGGCATCAGCGGAAGTCAGTTCTTCCACCAGAGAGTAAGCATGGTGTCTTGATGTCAGGAGTGTGGTCCAAGTCAAACATACATTAATCAAGATGGATTGATAACGGTGACTAGAAGGAGAATGCCACATGGTTGATGCCTTCTTTAATGTTAACTGTCCTGAGATTTCTGCTGGCCTCCCCTGTCTGCTCCCTATGAGCATCTGTTTTGTGCTCCTTCATAGATCACACTCTGTCTTCCTGGTCCTCTACATCTCGGATGTTGACTGGAATGGTGGCAATGCTCAGTGCTCCAGAGAAATAGCATGAGTGACAGTCATGGTTACCATGACACCAGCCTCTGTCTCTGAGCTTTCTCCTTGTCCCTCTTGTATTCTTTCTTGTAAACTGTCATTTACTCCATGGTGCCATTCATACACCAGGGATTGGTATAGTGTTTATCCTATTCCTTCATTTGCTTTATGGAAGTAGTCTCTGAGTTCTGCTTTATGATCTAATAATTCTTGCTGAATTACCCCAATAGCCTCCAAGTAGAATCCTCCATGCAATCTTGAACATTACCATTCTCTTTCCTATTATGGCCAAATCCGAGCATGTCACTCCCTGCTTAAATAATCAGAGAGTGCTGCAGATACGACTCAAACCAGTTAGCTTAGCATTGAGGCTTTGCCTATACCTCCGTATCCTTCTGCTCCTTCTCTTACACTGTGCCTAGCTTCTTTTAGACCTTAATTTTATTATCTGTACAATGTGGACAATAGTTCCTATTGCATAGAGTAAATAAAAACTTACGTTTGCACACATTGATTTTGTTGTTGCTATTTGGTTGGTTGGTTTTATTTTTATTTTTATGCTACTCTTTCCAAATGGCTAGTCTCTACTTATCAATATTCAGGTCAAAAAGCCAAATACTAGCATTCCCTTGTGTTCCAGCTTCCTGTGTGTCATAGTTAGGGTCTCTATTGCTATGAAGAAACACCATGGCCACAGCGACTATTATAAAGGAAAACATTTAATTGGTGTGGCTCACTTACGACCATTATCATCATGGTCGGTAACATGGTGATGTGTAGTCATACACGATACTGGCAGAGTTGCCGAGAGTCCTACATCTTGCAGGCAACAGAAAATGATCTGGACACTGGGTGGTATCCTGAGCACAGGAAACCTTAAAGCCTACCCCCAAATGTGGTGACACATTTCCTCCAACAAAGCCACACCTACTCCAACAAGGCCACACCTCCTAATAGTGCACTCCCTATGAGATTATGGGGGCCAATTACATTCAAACTAACACCCCGTATGTATTTCACCTGTCCATCTCTCTATTTCTGATGACTGGCTCACCTGGGCTTAATACTATCTCTACCAGTAACGAGCTGAGAGAAGTTGGGAAAACCGTTGACCCTCTGTCATTCTGTCATTTCTATGAAGGGGTGGAGGTCTAATGAGCTCTGAAGTTCCCAGCCATTTTGAAGTGATCATCTTCTAGCAGTAAGAAAAGCAGCACAGTAGTCTTAGGAGGTTGTAGAAATATGAAATAGCACATACCTCCTATTCCTTTTTGTCTTTTAGAGGTTATTTTCCTCTGAGAAAGTCATTCCCAAGGACTATGGTCTCCCAAACCCCAGCTGGAGCAAGGACCTAAGACTCCTCTTTGACCAGTTCATGAAGAAGTGTGAAGATGGCTCCTGGAAACGTTTGCCCTCATACAGACAAAATCCTACTCAAACCCTTAAAGACTTCCAAACCCGTTTTGTTGGTAAGAACAGCCACTTTCCCATAAATAATATTTGAACATCAATGTAAAGTGTAACAGATTGAAGCACTAATTATTACTTAAGAGAAGGAAGAGCCAGACATGGTAATTTTTCCATGTGTATAATCCTCTCAGTAGGCTGAGGCAGAAAGAGCATAAGCTCAAAGCCAGCTTGGGTCACACTGTCCCGTTCATGACCAGCAGTGGCTACGTAGTAAGACTCCATTTCAGAGTGGGGAGGAAGGAAGAAAGGAGTGTCAGGAAACAGAGCAAGGAGGGATTGAGAAGAGAGAAAGAAAAAGTAAGGGAAATGGGAAGGAGATTAGGAAGAGGGGAAAGAAAAAAAGCAATAGTACAGTGGGTTCTATAGTCCCTACTTTTATAGGCCAGAAATCTCATGAAATTTTGTGAATTGTGGGAGAAAATAAAACATATCAAAAATAAGATGATCCCAGGTGGTGGTGGCGCACGCCTTTAATCCCAGCACTTGGGAGACATAGACAGGTGGATCTCTGTGAGTTCGAGACAAGACTGGTCTATAGAGCTAGTTCCAGGACAGGCTCAAAAAGCTACACAGAGAAACCCTGTCTTGAAAAAACAGAAACAAACAAACTAAAGATCTTAATTTTAAGACAAGCAGTGGTGGCTCACACCTTTAATCCCAGCACTCGGGAGGTAGAGGCTGGTGGATCTCCTGAATTTGAGGCCAGCCTGGTCTACAAGAGCTAGTTCTAGGACAGCTAGAACTGTTACATGAGAAACCCTGTCTCGAAAAACCATAAAAAAAAATCCTCCCAACCTAGAATCTTGAAGCTGACATCACCAATCTCTTCTCTCTCTTTACTTCAAAATCTGGGCTCTTCCCTTTGATAAGATCAGAACGCTTGAATTATGCTTTGCCTTAGTTAGGATTACTATTGCTATGATGAAACCCCATGACCAAAAGCAAGTTGGGGAGGAAAGGGTTTATTTGCCTTCTACTTCCACACTGTAGTCCATCACTGAAGGAAGTCAGGACAGGAACTCAAGTGGGACTGGAACTTGGAGGCAGGAGCAGAGGCCATGGAGGGGTGCTGCTTATTGGCTTGTTCCCCATGGCTTGCTCAACCTGCTTTCCTGTAGAACACCAGGCTAAGGGTGGCATCATCCATGAGATGCTGGACCCTCCCCCATCAGTCACTAATTAAGCAAGTGTCTTACAGAGGCATTTCCTCAACTGAGGCGCCCTCCTCTCTGATGACTCTAGCTTATGCCAAGTTGACATAATAGCTAATGTTAAGCTGACATAAACTAGCCAGCACATCCTCTAATCTCTCAGACTTCAGACCCAAAGACTACCTCATGCCTAACACTCACAAATTACACTTCCCATCATTCTGGGTTGTTTGGTTTTATTTTTAACACGCTTTGTATTAAATAACTATTTTAATTAATTCTCTGAGAGTTTTACACAATATTTGATGACTTCTAATTAGCCCTTAATGTTTCCTGGCAGCCTGTCCCCGTTTCCCTAGTCTACTGACTGGGCTTTTCTGGATGCCTGTGTCCTGCCTCCTTTCCACTCACACCTCTAGTTCCTCCCCCTCTCACTCTCAGCACTAAATAAAGGTGGAAGCCAGCAGAAGGGCATTTCCAAGTTCTCCTCACTTCTTGTCCCCTCCTTCCTGTCCCCGAGCTTGATCTGCTTCTAGCCTGCATGAATGAACTGACCATGAATAAAGGTGGTTGTGCCGTGTTCCCTTCCCTTGGCCTGCTTGTGACACTGCTCCCTGCCACACCTTTCTCAGAAACAGGCAGACCTGCCTCAACTGTGTACTCGTCCTAGTGTCCCGGGGCCACCCCAACACTCGGCCACCAGACTCTCATGGGTGCACCCATTTCTCAGTACATAATACTCTCTATCATTGGACGCCCCTTCAGTCTCATGGCCTTAGGAGCCACTGAAAATATGATCATTGGAACTTCAGGTCCTGGCTTGCTTTCTGTTGCTGTAAACGCCATGACTTAAATCAAGTTGAAAAGGAAAGGGTTTATTTTATGTTTACTGTTTACAAGCCAGTTATGAAGGGAAGCAAGAACTCAAGCGGGAACAACAGAGGAAGGCTGCTTCCTGGCGACTTACTCTGCATGGCTTGTCCAGCCTGTTTTCTTATACCACCCAGGACCCAGGGGTGCCACCGCCCCCGTAAGCTGGGTCCTCCCCAACCAATCACTAATCAACAAAATAGCTCTCAAGCTCGACTAGGGGCAGAATGATGAAGGCTGCCCCTCCGTCGTTAAGGTTCCTCTTTCTGAATGACTTTAGCTTGTGTCAGATTGACAGAAATACTAACCACCACACTTAGTCTCACACGTTTAGGTTGAAATTCTGGGGTTCTACACAGCATAGAAATCTGTGTGAGTTTGGGTAAAATACTTTACCCTCCCATGCCTTGGTGTTCTCATGGCTGAAGGAATAAATGAAACAAAAGTCAAATTAACCAAGAATAGTTGGTCATTTTCAGATTTCTGTTTCTTCAGCTGCGAGCCAAGAATTATTCTTTTATCAATAAAGGGAAAAGTTAACTCTTAAGTAAGTTGCATTATTAAATTTCAACTATTACAAATTACTTAAAAGTAACTGTCCATGCTGGGTATGGCAGAGGATGCCTATCGTTTTGATACTCAGGTGGCTCAGACAGGAGGATGAGAGTTTGAGGCCATCCTGGGCTACACGGTGAGACCCTGTTCTAACTGAAACCAGTCCCACCCCAGTCCACAGGATTAACTGCTAGATGACTTGGCTAGTGTGCCCAGAGCCCTGGCTCTAATCGCTAGCACTATAAAAGTAGTGTTGTTGTTTTTACTACAGTTGTTCTGACATCACACGATTCATTGAATGCCCTTGACTGGATGCAGCCTGGCTTCTACCTGCTCGGCTTTGTGGGAATGATATATGCATGGAAACTGATACTGATCTGCATGCCAATTTTGGTGAGCACTATTCATTTTATAGTGTAAAGTTGGCCTCCATCAGAGCCCTCCTCCCACCAAGAGTGCCAATCTCCCGGTGTTCCTTTACAGCCGGCAGCACTCTTCAGTCTGAGGCTTTAACCCAAATGTGAAACCCTGGGAATCTTGTCAAACAGCAGATTCTGCCTCAGTTAAACAGGGGTAGACGCTCAAATTCTCTTAACAAATGTGTTTTACTTATTTTTCCCATGTTTATAAGTTACCTTACAATTTGATAATCTTGACCAGAAATGTTAAACTCTTAAGTTGATTTCAGGAGCCACCATAGTTCTTACACAAAGATGATTTATTAGGCTAAACTATCTCTGTTTCTAATTCAGGATAGCAGGGTAAATTCACATCTGCCAGGAAAACCATTTCCTTTCTGTCGGATTATTCATTCTTGCTAAATTCCATTTAAACCACACTTGAGCCCAGAAGAATTCACTGCTTCGCTCAGTTTCCTGCCATATTCACTAATTGTTGTGTGTATGTAGGTACTTTGGTTTTTTTTACTCTGCCCATGTATGTTTGCATATATGTTTTTTTTTGCTGTCCCAGAAAGTTTGTGTTCTGTTATATTCTGTTAATTTTGTTTGTTTGTTTTAGTTTTAGTTTGTTTTGAGAGAAGGTTTATGCAGTCCAGACTGGCCTCAAACTCACCACGTAGCCAAGAATGGCCTTGAACCTCTAATCTTTCTGCTTCTATCTCCCAAGTTCCAACATCACAGCCACGCAATACCACACACCGTTTCACGTGGTGCTGGGGCTTGGGAACCCAGGGCTTTGAGCCTGCTAGGCAAGCACTCTGCCAATTAAACTGCATCTCTAGCCACTGTTTCTGTGACCTTTCCATTCCTCTCTTTGGTATTCCAATCAGTTATCTACCCACATATGATTTTAGCAGGGCACGGGTGCTTAGTTCTGTCATGGTGTTTTTCTATCTGTTTTTTGCCCTCCTGTCCCATACCCTTATTTTCTTTTCAGATCCCAGGTTTATGAATGAAGAACAAGTGTCAAAGGCCCAACAGTTCAGTAGAAGCTTAGAGGAAGGCCTGGGGTTTGAGTATGTGATGTTCTATAATAAAGTGGAGAAGAAGATGGTTTGTTTGTTTCAAGGAGGTCTTCACCTGCAAGGGGTACCTGGGTAAGAACTATCCTAGCAGCATGGAGCAGAAAGAGTTTTATTCTCACATATTCAGGGACTACAAAGACAACATTAAAATGGCAATATAAATATATATTTATTGGTATAGAAAGATGCTTATAACACACTAGTTGAATATTATCTATGTTGGTTAAATTTCAAAATTTTAACATAGTATTAAATGATGCATATAATATAGAACATAGAACAGCAGAGTATGGTGGACACGTTTACAGTGATTTGCTGTGACTTGATGGTAGTAGTAAGGGTTTAAAGGTTTCTTCCTTTTATTTATCTGCACTTCCTAAACTTTAAAGATTCCTTTTATTATTACTTTAAACTAACTCTGCGTGCGTGTGTGTGTGTGTGTGTGTGTGTGTGTGTGCACATGTGAGTGCCGGTACCAACGGAATCCAGAGGTGTCCGGTCCTCCTGGAGCTGGAGTTGCAGGTAGTTGTGAGGCACCCAGTGTGGACGCTAGGAACTGAATTTGGGTGCTCTGTAAGACTATGTGCTCTGAACTCTTGAGCCCCACTTTCTAAACTTTTAAATGTTTCCTAATTAAAGTTTAGCTTTTCATTCTATAATATGATTAGTACCAAGCTCCAGTTTTATTAAAAGTATCCTTTCTGCTAAGAATAAAGTAAGGAGATGTGTGTGTACATATACATATACATATATATATGTAAACATTAAATACACGGAACATGAGGTAAATGTATAAAGACACTTGAATAGGAAATAGCCTCTCAAGATATAAATTATTAATTTCCTAACCTTCTGAAAGTTTCTCTTCTGCTGCTGTTGTGGCTAGATTTGTTCATGGAGGTGCCATTGCAACTATCATCGATGTTACTACTGGCATGTGTGCAATTGCTGAGGGAATTGCCATGACTGCCAACCTCAACATCGACTACAAAAAGTAAGTCCATGATAGTTCTTATGTTCTTAAGTCAGATTCTCCAGCAGCAGATCCTGAGTCAAGGTGTATGTCTGTTACTATCAAGGAAGTGCTCCCAAAGGACTTAGCAAGGGAGATGAAGAAGCAGGACAGTGAGGAAGCTACCAAGCCTCAGCTTTCAAAGTTCTACAAAGAGTAGCTTCCACCAAACTCACAAAGAAATTCTGGGAAGAGAGAGTCATGCTTCAGAGTCATTCATTCCGTCAGTAACTGGAATCTATGCCAGTTATAGGATGTGGGCTGCCCTGGCTCTCTGTTTGAGTAAAGCATCACCCAGGAAATAATTTATTTTTATTTTTTATTAATTGTATATATGTGAGAAGGGGGTACATGCCATGTTGTGTGTATAGAATCAGAGGGCAACCTGTAAGAGTCAGCTGTCTCCTTCTAGCATGTGGACCCCACAGATTAAACACAGCCATCAGGCTCAGCAGCAAGTACCCCAGCCAGCTGAGCATCTACTCAGTAAGATCTGGATGGAGCCCAAATATCCCCTACATATTAAAAATAAGAGAAAGGGTTCTCATAACTTTATGCAGAGAAATGGAGTGGAAATAAGATGAGTTTGATATGCGTTAGAGTCACCATCCAGCTACACTCCCACACCAGACAACAGAACGGCTTCTAGCAAAGAATAGAGAATGAGCTGAAGGTCAAAAACAGTGTAAGAACAAAGGCTTCAGAATATGAAGGGAAGCTTGGGGGTCACTACCACAAACATAGAGTATGTAAGTTACTAAACATCCCCCCTCTACATATCACAAAAGCCGTGTTACCCGAGTACTAGCTTTTGGAAGCCGTGCTTCATAGATGTTAAATTATTTTTTATAGATAATGCTTAGGTGTATTAGACTAGTATCGCCCTATAGAAAAGTTTATTTCAGAGGTCAGTAGACATTTTCTGTTAATATTTTATATTTGTGGTCTGTGTAGTGTGTGACACAGCTTTTCAACCCAGCCATGAAAGTACAGGAGCAGCTATAGATAGTACATAAGAATAACTGTGTTCCAGTAAAACTAACTTAGAAAGAAGAGGAGCCAGTGGGCTGTAGTTTGCCAAGCCCAGAGGTTCAATTGGAAAAAAGACAGAACCGCTTGCCTTCTTCTGTAGTTCCTTCTATCCCTTACCTTCCCTCAAACAAAAACAGAAATGTTATTTTCATTTCTTCCTCTCTAGTGGCCAATAATGGTAACTTCAACTTAAAGTTAGGCAAGATTGGAATTTATCATCTAAAAACAGCCAGGAAAGGATGTCCTCAGCCATTCAGGCCCCCACAGATGTGGGTCTACATCTGTTCTCTTGCGGATATCCAGTTTTCCTATTTGTTAAAGAGATTGTATCTTACCCATTGTGTTTTCTTTACACCCTTGTCAGAGGTCACCTGACTGTGAGGTTAGGTGGTTACTCAGTTGGAAAAGTTCTCGCTGTGTGTGCAGAGGGTCTGAGTTCAGAACCCCAGCACCCACTGTAAGAAGAAGTTAGGCACAGCACCACATGACTGCGATCCAGTGTGGGGAGGAGGATGTGGGGGCACCCCTGGGGCTTGCCGACCAGAGAGTCTAAGCAAGTCAGTGACCACTAGGTTCAATAAGACCCTGAATAAAATGGAGAATGGCCCCCATTTTCTCCATGCAGTCTCTCACACTCAGATATGCTCACCACACAAGAACATAGACTGTATGTGAGTAGGTTTGTGTCTGAACCCAGTGTTCTGTTCCTTTGACTTATATGCCAGGACTGTGTTTTAATTATCTGGCCTTGTAAGGTATCCTGAGATCAAGTAATATTTGACTCAGCTTTCTTCTTTCTCAAGATTGCACTAATGGGTCTGGTTCTGTTCCCACACACGTCTCAGAATTGCCTTTTTAATTCTACAAGGAAAAAACAAAACAATGACGCTGGAACTTTATGAGGGTTGCAGCTTTTTCACTTTTAAGAAGCAAAACCTCACCTTAGCCATCTCAGTTTCCAGCCAGCCAATCTATCTGAACTATTTCGTTGTCTCTAAATACATTGAGGGCAAAACAGTTAAAAACTGATGGTACTGAAAGGGGAGGTGTCTGAGCCTATAACCTCTTCATAACATATCAGGCCAGAAGCTCGCCTGGAGTTCCCGATTCTATGTGGCAGAAAATAAATACTCAAGGATATTCTTCAGCATAAGCAGATTCTACATCAAATACATACGTACATACATACATACATATGTACGTAATACATACATAAGAGTGAGTATCGGGCTGGAGAGACAGTTCAGCAGTTACACCCATGGCCTCCACAGGCACCTTTACATACATGGTATACACCTGTATAGACATATAAACAGAAATAAATGATGAAAGTACTTTTTTTTAAAAGTTTTAAAGATTATCAGCAAAAGCAACAACAAACTTAGATCCTCAAAGACTGTCCTCATGGGATAACCAGATGCACACAACCATGTGAGACACTCAAAGACTTTAGCTGTCCTCATGGGATAACCAGATGCACACAACCATGTGAGATGCTCAAGGAAATGAAAGGAAAAAGAAAGTAAAGATTATTAATTAAATTTACTGTGGAATTCAATATAACTTTGATGTGAAGGCAGAATTATTTAAAGAGCAAAGGGGCTTAGTTAATGCAACTGAAAGTGGCCAGAAACATAGAACTAAGGAAATGAACCTGCAGTCACAATGCCCGTGGAGCTCAAAACCTTTTCTTTGAATCTGTTTAGAAAGCCAGGCCGGGCAGAGATGGCACACACCTTTAATCCTGGAGCTCAGAGAGCAGAGGCAGAGGTCTCTGAGTTTGAGACCAGCCTGGTCTCAGAGTGAGTTCAAGGCCACCAGAACATACAGATAAACTGTGTCTCAAACCACTCTCTCCCCCCCCCCCCAAGAAAAGAAGGAAAAAGAAAGTCAAAACCACAGCCCAAGCTTTCTGTCCATTTTCCTGATAAAGGTGCATCACCTGTGGCATGTCCATCTCTAACCGCCACACGAAGGCTATGCCAGTGAATCCTTAGCGCCTGGGAAGTCGCTCTTTAATGCTTGTCCACCACAGTTCCTTCTCTTTGAGAGAAACAGGAATGGGTGGGGGCATCCCTAGCTGTTCTTTTGTCCCCTGGGAGTTTAGGTCACATTTGTTCTTTCTCTACCTTTCAGCAGTTTAGATCAGCGAGTAGCAGTTGGCCTCACACTCATCAAGCTTGCTCCTCTAAAATGTACAATTAAATCCTGCCTGTGTTTGCTCTGAAAATCCACGCATGTCCTTTATCATCTCACAGCCCAGTGAAGCCTCAAATCTCTCCTCACTACAGACAGTCCTCCTCTGTTGAGATTTGTTCCAGATTCCACACGGAGCTGGTGTGCTCAGTGGTGGTGGTCAGCGATACTCACCCACTCCACTGTCAATGAGACATCAAGTATATCCCACAATTTTATTAACATGTCCACTGCAGTTAAACCAATTGCAGATACACCAAGTGTAAATAAAAAGGAGAAGCAGAATCCAGTCAGATTGACATGGATTCAATTTGATACAGCATTGGCTACTCTTTGACCCTCAGATGGCTCATCCAATAAGAGATGAGAACAGTTTTTCTAGAAGGCTGTTAGGACTACTGATGTGTTCAGAGCTGGCAATTTAATATGTTTAGTGGTGGTTTGGAATCATTTTAAGAGTAAGGGGAGGGAGAGATGTTTTGAATCCAGTATAGAGAGAACAGGAGTTGAGATATAATGGGAACAGATCAAAACTCTAATAAGAAACAGTAGAAAAAATTGGTTTAAAAAATACAATAAATATCAATCAGGATAAATGACAGTAAGGCATTATATTATTATAGAGAAGTTAGCTATACAGTTCTAAAAAGCACCAGACACAGAAGAGCACACGTAGGAGAGCTGTTTCCGGAAGCAAGAGGGCGCCATTACCTTAGCAATAAACCTACAGCAGCAGAAGAGGCTCAGCAGCATACTAGGACGCAAGAGGGCGCCATTACCTTAGCAATAAACCTACAGCAACAGAAGAGGCTCAGCAGCATACTAGGCCAGCTAGGAACTGTGCGTCCAGCATGCCAAAGTTCAGAGGGCAAAGTCAAGTTGTTTTCATTGAGCCAAAAATTGAGAGAGGTTATGAAAACACATGGTCCGTGTGCCGGACATGGGGCTCACCAGCAAGGCTAGGTCTACATCTGGAGAGCAGCAAGAAGCTGAAACACTGAAACAAGACAGAGCTGGGGAGAAGGCAAGCAATGCCTTGTATTTTTCAGTAGGACAAAAATTAAAGTGAGTGATAATTAATACAAAAAGCAATAGAAAAGTACAAACAAATAGGAAAATAACTCAATTTTTAAAACAAGAAAAAAGATGTGAATCAAAGAAAAAGCAAAGTAAGATAGTACCAGAAATAAGTCAGTGCACTGACTGACCAAACATCAGTCCAAACACAGGTTATAAGATTGAAATTAATGTAAAAAGCTGAGAAGCATATGAAACATTTAAAAACGATACAGAAAAAAAAGGGGGGTTTTGGGGGTTTTTTTGTTTTTTTTTTTGTTTTTTTTTTTTTTTTTTGGTTTTTCGAGACAGGGTTTCTCTGTAGCTTTGGAGCCTGTCCTGGAACTCCCTTTGTAGACCAGGCTGGCCTCAAACTCACAGAGATACTCCTGCCTCTGCCTCCCAAGTTCTGGGATTAAAGGCGTGCGCCACCACCGCCCAGCAAAAAAAAAGTTTTTTAAGTTGTTGTTTGTTTGTTTGTTTGTTTTTTGAGACAGGGTCTGTTTGTAAATAGCCCAGGCTGGCCTAGAATACCATACATAAACCAGACTGGCCCAGAACACCATACATAAACCAGACTGGCCTAGAACACCATACATAAACCAGGCTGGCCTAGAATACCATACATAAGTCAGGCTGGCCCAGAACACCATACATAAATCAGGCTGGCCCAGAACACCATACATAAACCAGACTGGCCCAGAACACCATACATAAACCAGGCTGGCCTAGAACACATGCATAAATCAGGCTGGCCCAGAACACCATACATAAACCAGGCTGGCCTAGAACACCATGCATAAATCAGGCTGGCCTAGAACACCATACATAAATCAGGCTGGCCTAGAACACCATGCATAAATCAGGCTGGCCCAGAATACCATACATAAATCAGGCTGGCCTAGAACACCATACATAAACCAGGCTGCCCTCAAACTCACAAAGATCCTCCAACCTCTGCCTCCTGAGTGCTGGGATCAAAATTGTGCACCTCTGTGCCTAGCCTGACACAGAAAAGTTTTAAAGAAAGGAAAATACATGAGACAAAAACAATCAGAAGAAAACTGAGATCAGCAAAAATCAACTGTACCCCCAAAAAAAAGTAGTAGTAGGTACAGAGAAAACAGGTGGGCATGGCAGGAGTCCGTCATTCCAGAACTTCTCCATTAAAGGAGGAGGCAGAGATAGGCTCACTGGGCAGTGCACAGGCCAACCAGCCTGGAGATCCTACCCTAGCAAGGCAGGAAAGAAACAACTTCCAAAAGTTGTCCTCTGACCTCCCTTGCAAGCAAGCAATCCTCATGAAACATCAATGTCTGCCCTTACATATTTACACACACACACTTACACACACATACACACACACACAATAAGTAGATAAATAAATAGACATTTTAAAGGGGGACTGGGTAGGTGGGTCAGAGGTTGAGAGCACTTACTGCTATGGCACAGGATCTGAGTTCAGTTCCCAGCACCCGCATTAGGTAGTTACTATCTGTAACCATGTCCGGGGGGATCTAGTATCCTCTTCTGGCCTCATTGGTGAACTGCACTCACCTGCACATACTATCACACAATTAAACAAGCATAATTTAAGATCTTAAAAAGAAATTTTAAAAAATAGAAAGAGATGCTGGACAGGTAAGAACACCAGATGTCCCCAGGACCTTGGCAGATGTTGAATAGACACCAATAGAAGAGCAACGCCTGGCATCTCCATCAGCGGGGTCAGGAGAGCTAGTGGAATGGCCTGTTAAAAGGTGATGGGAGGGAAGTTTGGGCCGGGGGCAATCACAGTGACAACTTCCTGTGTCATCCACATGGTGGTGCTGTAGAACAGAGGACATTTCCATGTTCTATGTTTTACATCAACCAACAGAACTCTGACCTTCAAAGAAAGTTCTTTCTCATTGTGGTGCTCGACCTCCAGGATTCCCCAAAAGATTAGCCACTGTCACATATAGCTATCGAAGTCTAAATATAAGTTAATTAAAATGAAATAAATTGTAAGATTCAGTTTCTCATTTATACTAGCCACATTTCAAGTGGTCAGTAGCCACATGTGACTACCACATTGGACAGCTCAGCTACAGAACACTGGCTTAGAATAATAAGGTTGTTGCTGGCAAGTACTCTAAAAAAAAGTCAATAAGAAAAATTTTAATTATATGTATGTATTTATTATGTCTAGGGTGGGGTACACATAGCATGCATGTGGAGGTCAGAGGCCAACTTTCAGGGACTGAACTCAGGCTTGGCTACAAGATTCTTTTACCTACTGAGTCATCTAACTGGCCCAAGAAATTCTGAGGATAACAGACACTGGCAAGGACTGTTCTCACCGCTTTCTGCCACTAGCATCAGACTAGGCTCTGGATCTCCGGATGGAAAGTCTGCCCGAACAGCTGGAATCCTGGCCTGTGGACTGGAGCCCAGAAGGGCAGTCTGGGAGCTTATGCCCTAGAATGCCCTGCAGGCAGGAGTGTGGGAGAAAGGAAGCAGGAGGGACGGAGACACTGTTGGTGTCAGAGCCCTTAAGGGATGTTCCAGCTGAGACAGCCAGCACTCTCTAGCATCAGTGTGTATCCACCCTGTTGTGCACCTGGTGGTCAGCCAGTGTTACACAGATTTAACAAAAAAAAAAAAATGGTTTTTTTTTTTTCTCCCTTCTGCAGACCTATTCCCCTTTGTTCTGTTGTGGTGGTAACCAGCCAACTTAGTAAGACTGAAGGAAGGAAACTTTTTATTTCCTGTACTGTTCAGAGTGTTGATGAGAAGACGTTATACACACAGGCAACAGGTGAGAAACTGCACTGTCTCTAGGCTGGGAGGTTGGCCTGGCTTGGGGTTACCTCTGCTTTCATTTCAGAACACACAAAACAAGTTCAGTGTTTAGGAGTTGAGTGTTTGAGACAAGGGTAGCCTGGGATGGCTTTGAAATTGTCACAACGGATAACCCTGAACTCCTGATCCTGCCCCCTCCACTTCCTGAGTTCTGAGTGTGGCTTGAACCACCCGCCACACCTGGCTTAGGTTGGTTGGGTTTTGTTTTTAGTTTTGTTTTTGTTTGAGGAGGAGAGGTTCAGTGCTGGATCAAACCCCATGGCTTTGTACACACAAGGCAAGCACTCTGTCACTGAGCTACATCCCCAGCCCCGTAGCTAAAGGCATTCTTACATGCTGCTAGTGAAGGACTATTTGCCAATATCTGTTACAACTGGAGGTGAGAGAACATTTGATCCGACTCCAGGACTGTATCTCATACGTAACATAGGAGGTTGCTACGCTTTAGGACTGTGCATCCCTCACTTGCAACTGCAAAAGAATACGCAGAGCATTGACCCACTTCCGCGGAAAACTGGCTAAAGAACTACAGCTCTTCCCCAACTTATGCTGTGAAGCAAGTTCACTAACATATCCTGGGTGAGAGCCAGAGAGGGCATGGCAGAGATCTAAGTCAGTATCACTGGCGTAGAGAGAAAGGCAGAAGTCCTTCCATTTCTCCCCATTCCTCCCCTTCACTTGCCCTTGCCTCCTTCCTCCTCTCCCTCCCTGTGTTTATTGTAAGAGCCATTATGTAGACTTAGATGAGGTAAGCCCAGGGACAGGGAGACGAGCAGCAACCGTGGCCAGCAGTGTCAGAGCCTGGACAGGACAAGGAGGATATATCACAGGGAGCAGCCCGTCACAGGATGCCAAGACCCAAGGAAGGTGTGCCTGGAGCATGGCAGCAGTGGTGGGCGCAGGCTCACTCTGACACACAGTCACAGAGAGGGAGAAAGTCGTAATTAAATCCTGAGCTTGCACTGGACATGTGGGTTTTCCCAGTCTGTTGTTCTCCCAAATAGTGTAATAACTTTTGAAAAGTCATTTTATGCACACGTTGCTAAATTATTCTCTAATAGTTTAGAGAGAGATATACATTTGTGCCAATTTCACAGTTTTTCTATAAACTTGAAATTACTCCAGAGTAAAGACTCTGAAATGGGAGGAAAGGCAAATGTCTACAATTCTTTGCACGTACATAGACAGCTCTTGGAAGGGCACAGAGACTATTCTGGAAAGGGGACCAGGTGGGCAGTTTACTGTAGGCCCTGTGCATATCCTGAGAGTAAGACATGAGAAATGATTACCAGGAAGGGAGTTGAACTTAATGGATCCCAATACTTAAAAGAAGCCCGATTTATCAAAAAAAAAATTCAATATTTGGTATAAAACTGAATTTTTAGTTATGATGAGAAAAGAAACCACAGCCTATTTCTGCTGACTTAGAGATGCAGGCTCCTTCCTGCTGAGCTCTCCGTAGGCAGCAAGCCAGAAATCCCACCTAGAAATGTCTCCAGCTCTAGGTACATTTCCCTTTACCTTTAGTGCACTTGTTTATGCTAATCATAGTTCTTGAGTTATGACACGGTCCCCACTGGAATATAGCTGTTCATCTTTTATTTATTCATCTACTAAATTTAATAGTAAATAATACCCTAGGGCCTACCACCAAATAGGAATCAGACTCAATCGTATTTTATCTCTACATACCCCATCTTTTCTTCCTGTTTAATGAAAACTCTGATCTTGAATTTAGTAGCTTGTATTATTTTCTAGCTTCTAGATTTTATTTTTAAAATTTCCTTAAGAATGATTGAGTATACCAGGTGTGGGGGTGCACACCTTTAGCCCCAGTAATCAGGAGTTAGAGGAAGGCAGATCTCTGAGTTTGAGGCCAGCCTAGTTCTAATACAGCCAGGGCTACACAGACAAACCCTGTCTCAAAAAAGAAAGGAAGGAAGGAAGGAAGGAAGAAAGAAAGAAAAATTGGTTCATAATCCGGCATTCGGGAGTCTGAGGCAGGAGGATTATGAGATTAAAGCCAACATGAGCTATATGGTAAGACTCTCCCTCAAAAAAGAAAGAATAACGCACATCTAAGGGGTATGTTCATCAGCTGTTCATTGTTAACTTTGTAGAAAGAGATTATGATGTGTGGCTTCTCTGGGTTTGGTTTTTATTTAACTGTACATTGCTGAGATTCAGCCCCAGTCTGAGCTGTGCGGTCCCTTCTTTCACTTCCAAGTAATGCCCCATTAGCCATCCCACCACAGTGACTTGGCTCGTCTAATAATGGGCTCTGCCCCTGCTGGGCGTGTTCTTGTCTGTGCCCTCTGCGTGGCAGGAGCTTGGCATCTGCCTAAAAGCAGAGTTTCTGGATGTATAAATGCTCTGCTTTGCACGGGAGCCCCCCTTGTCGTCAAAAGCTGTCCCCAAATATATGACGTTCTTTTGATCCCTGTCTTCTCTAGCAGTTGACATTTCCCAATATTTACCAAAAAGCTTTTAAAATACATCTTTTTATTCCTTTTTGAGACAAGGTCTCACTCTGTAGACCAGGCTGGCCTCAAACTCACAGAAATCCACCTGCCTCTGCCTCCCAACTGCTAGCATTAAAGGTCTGCTTCACCATGCCTGGCTAAAATGGAATCTCAGTGTCATTTAGATTTACATTTACCAGGTAACCTATAAAGTTGAATATCTCTTCATATGTTCATGACCATATTTCTTTCCCATTGTGTGAAATTCCTGTTGGCTCATATTCTCTTTTTTCTTGTTTTCACCAATTTCCAGGAGTTCTATAGTTACTTTTGGTTAAGCCTATGTTGGATAGGTAGACACTCCATACATCCTCCAGTGTGTAAGATGGTTTTATTTGCTCTAAAGCATCTCTTTATGAACAGAAGTTTGTAATGTTAGTGTATTCCGGTTAGTAGATTTTTTTTTCCTTTATGAGTAATGCTTTTCATACTCTGTTTAAAAAGTTCACTTCCCCAAAGTGTCAGCTTTTCACGAGAACGATGGGTAAGGAGAGGAGGATGGCATAATGGTCTGAATCCACAGTCAGTTTGCAGACCATTCCAAGTCTTTCTTTTCCAGATTGCTTCTGGTGCTATGATAAAACGCCATGAGCAAATGCAGTCTAGAGAAAGGAAAAGTTTACTTCAGCTTACTCTTCAGGCCACAATCTACCATTGAGGGAAGCCATAGAGGACACTGCTTCAGTAAGCAGGCTCCTGCCTAGCTGCCTTAGGCAGCCCAGAACTGTCTGCTCCCATGGACCAATCTGATATGGGTGAGCCCTTAATTGAGACACCCTTCTCGGGTATCAGGGCTGTCAGGTTGACAGTTAAAGCTTATTAGCACGCTCACAAAACCTTCCATATCAGTTGGCTCAGTTAATTGTCATCTCCCAGGCTTCCTCTTGATAGAAGTATTAATGAATCATGAAGTAATGGAGGACCTGGTAAAGGGGAAGGAAGGTAATGACTTTGACAGTCAAAAATTGATTTGTTTACTTTTGAGACAGCGTCTGACTGGCATGGAACTCACTATAGAGACCAGACTGGCCTTGTACTCACGGAGATCCACCTATCTCTGCCTCCCTCCCATGTGCTAGTATTAAGTGTGTGCACTACTACCCCCAGTCAAAAGTTAGTTAAGTTTTCTGAGAAACGAGAGTAGAAAGATAAAGATATGAGCAATCCCTTCCTACTGTCTTCCTGCTTGGCCTCATCTAATGGAAAAGAGTTGACTTACAATCATCTATTGTTTTGTTGGTTTAGCTTTATTTATAAAACTGGATCCTGACAAACGTTTGACATAAAGAACTTCTGTTGAACTCCACACTGTGCTGCATGAAGTCCCCCCCACCCAAGCAGCACCGGTCTCCACTCGTGTCCCAGCTGCTGAACCCCCAGTGGAAAGCCTGCTCTCACGGACCCTTCAGAACAGCCTCTAAAATACAGGGCTGCAGGAACTCGCTGTCTGCCTTTCAGACTTGTCATAAGAAGCACTCCCTGGAAGAGTCTCAGCACTCATGTGTCCCTAGGACAAATGTCCTGAAATATGAACAGACGTCAAAGCTGACAAGCCCAGTACCTGCTCCACTGCAGACTGGAGCAAAGGATTGCATTGAAACTCACTGCAAACATGGAAATGGAGTGGTGTGTGTGGAGTGTGTGTGTACACGAGCACAGACTGCGTGTTACAGAGAGGTTTGTTGTTTGTGAACAAACGTCTTTCCAGCCATCTTAGGGAACACAGCTCATTCCTATGGGAATGGATCCACACCTCTGTTGTCTAGGGTCCTAGAGATTAAACCGTTGTTCATTTTTCCTCAACCTGTGCTATTGTATCGTACATCACTGTGCTGTCGTCACTGGGAGAAGGCTGTGAGCTTCCTGGGACTAGAAGCTAGGTGTTTAAACCAACACAGACTTCACTGTCATAGTCCCAGAGGCCAGACGTCTAAAGTTAAAGTGTTAACCAAACCTTGCTCCTTCTGAAGGTTGTGGGCGGGAGCTATTTCACATCTCCTGGCTTCTACCAAGAAAGCCTCCAGCATTCCCTGATTTTTAGACACAGCATGGTTTCCCATTATATCTCTCCATCATATTCTTTCTGTGGTCCCTGATTCCAAATTTCCCTTTGAAAGGATTGAAAGGGTTTATTTATTTATTTTTCTCTCTCCCTTTCTCTCTCTCTCCCTCTCTCTCTCTCTTTATCTATCTGTGTGTGTGTGTGTGTGTGTATGTGTGTGTGTGTGTAGGTGCTCAAATAAATTGGGAGATTAATGTGCTAGAAAACATATTTACTTCTCGTTTTTACGTTTATTTGTATATATTGGGGGGCATGTATGTGCCATGAAAGTGTATGTGTGGAGTTCAGAGGGCAGTGTGAGGGCAGATTGAGGGCAGTGTGAGGGCAGCGTGAGGGCAGCGTGAGGGCAGTGTGAGGGCAGCGTGAGGGCAGCGTGAGGGCAGTGTGAGGGCAGCGTGAGGGCAGTATGAGGGAGCTGGTTCTCTCCTTCTAATGTGTGGGTCCCCACGATTGAACTCAGGTCATCAGAGTTAGGGGCAAGCACCTTTATCTGCTGACCCATCTCTCCAGTCATCATTTTTTTTATTTTTTTTTTATTTATTTATTTGGTTTTCCAAGATAGGGTATCTCTGTGTAACAGCCCTGGCTGTCCTAGAACTAACTCTTGTAGACCAGACTGGCCTCGAACTCACAGAGATCCACCTGCCTCTGCCTCCCAAGTGCTGGAATTAAAGACGTGCACCACCACCACCACCTGGCTTCTAGTCATCATTTATTGTTTTTATTTTGTTTTTTGAGATGAGACCTGGAGGTTTTTAAGTAGACCAGGCTGGCCTAGAACTCAGAGGTCCACTTGCTTCTGCCTCCAAATGCCAGGGCTTACTTGTCACCACCTCATGGTTAACCATGGTATTTTGCTGCTGCTTTGTGCATTTACTTTAAAGACTTACTTTTGACCAGGTGAGGTAATACACACCTTTAATCCTAGCATTAGCAGTCAGAGACAGGTGAACCTCTATAAGCTCCATGCTGATCTATAGAGTGATCTATAGTGTAGTCTATATAGTAAAACCCTGTCTTTAAAAAAGATTTATTTATACGTAAGTGTCTGGGTGTGTGAGTGTGTATCATGCATATGGGTGCCTGAAGAGGACAGAAGAAGGTGTCAGACCCTCTGGAACTGGAAATCAAGCTCCTCCAGAAGAGGACAGAAGAAGGTGTCAGATCCTCTGGAACTGGAAATCAAGCTCCTCCTGAAGAGCCATACTTGCTCTTTCTTGCCTCCTGTATTTTGCTTCTTTTTTTAATTAATTTTTTAAATAATTTTTTCATAATTAATTTTTATTCTTTGATAATTTTATACATGTGTACAACATATTGGACATTTTCTCCCCCATTCCTCTCCCAGACTCTTGCAGATCCACCCTGTTGCCTCCCATCTTTGTTTACTGTCTCTTTTTTAAAAATAACCCACTGAGCCCAGTTTTTGTTGCCCATGTACTCATGGGTGAGGTCATATCCACTGGAGCAGATCAACCTATCAGGAGCCACACTCGTTTAAAACAGTGACTCTCCTTTCCCCATAGCCACCTGCCTGGTCCTAAGACATTTTTGGCTCTGCCAAGCACATTCCTGGTTTTAGAGAGGGAACTGTGTTTCTTTTCCATACACCAGGGCCTCAGGGGAAAGCTCCCAAGGCTCTGGCCCTAGGCTAAAACTGGCTCTGCCAAGCATGTTCCTGGTTTAGAAAAGGAGCTACGTTCCTTCACAGATCAGGACCCATGTAACCCCACAGGTAGGGACACAACTCATCCCACCTTAATATGCTATGGTTATCAGTCCCAAAGCTGGTGTGTGCTTGATTTGTACAGCTCTTGAGATGCCCTGTATTCCCTCTGTGTAACATTTCCTGTTTAGTTCCTGCTGACTTCATCCCATTGTCTGATGGCTTTATGTTGACTGTCTCCTCTTTTCCCCACAAACTGTATGTAAATTCTTTACTTACTAAACCTGTTGTCCATGAGCCATCCACTTGTACAAGATCTCCTAATCCCAAACTTTTCTGCCTTCTTTATCTTCTCATATGGTCTTCATCCCCCAGGTCAGGTAGCCATGTGGTACCCCACCAGTCTTCCACAGCCTAAGATCAGCTGGATGTTCCAGAGCTAGAGCCAGCGCCAGCTGAACCTGGGGTGGCCAAGCCACAGAAGGGACTCGGGTCCTAGGAGAAGTTCTGGTAGCCACCTGTAGCCCATGGGGTTGAAATTGGCAGCTGCTTCTCCATGGAAACTCCAAGGGTTTGAGGTAGTGCCTGGGAAGTGGTGGGCTACGGCTTTGTAATCCACTTACCTTTGAGCAACAGCCATCATTTATTTCCATTCACCCTTTCAGCCAATTCTGAAGCTTCTGAGAGAGTGTTATGACAACTTGTATTTCTTGGACTTGGCATATTAAATGGGAAGCTGAAAGAACAATGTGCCATCGCTGTCTGTTATCTAGTTACAGGTGGAAGTTGAAACAGTGCTGGTTTTTCATGCCTGTCCTTTGGCTTCATTGGACAGCCTTGTAGAACCTCCTAGCTGAAAGAATGCTGAGGAACATTCACTCCTTTCTCTGGATCTCCTTTTCTCTCCTAGCCATGTCTCTCCCCAGCCTCCATTCTCACAAAGTAAACTGTGGCACATGATCAAGCTCAGCCATGGGAAGTGTCAGCTGCTGTTCATGGGGAAATTGTTTCCTTACTTTAGAGCAGATTTCGCAGGAGCCACGGAACCTTGGCAATCTTGTCTTCCAGTTGTATTTGATATGTATTTGAGACCACTGTGTTAATTTTTTCACCATGATTAAAAGAAATAATTCAAAGGACAATTTGTTTTGGTAAGTTTGGGACTGCAGGCTATCTCTACCATGTGTAGCCTCTTTCTTCTGCTGCCACAGGGAAGATGGCAGCCCTTCTACTGTGAATCTCCAACCTAACAGATTCCCCAGGTGTCCAGACTTGGGAAGAATAGCAGACATCATTCTCCCTTCCCCAAGAAAGTTTATAGACCTCAGATTGCTAGTCTCTGGGATTTGAGCAGGCCACCCATATAATGGGTGCCTGTCAGATGTGCCACTCCTTAGATTCTCCTTGGTGTCCTGCCTGCTAATACAAGACTCCCTCTCCTCCTGCCTCCCACCAGAGAACTAGGGACAGCCGGATCTCTACATGAAGTCACTCCCTTCTGAGATTTATAAATATGGAACCTCCTATTTATAATAAATAGGAGAAATCTAGGCTCGGGAGAAAGAAAGGGAAGAATAGGAGAAGAATAATGAGGGACATGCCAAGGGCAAGAAGTCAGGCAAATGCCAGACAGACAGACAAACAGTGGAGCAGTGAAAGTGAGATATACAGAAAAAGAAAGGTAATAAGCCCCAAGGCGAAAGGTAGATAAAGAGAAATGGGTTAATTTAAGCTAAAAGAGCTAGCGAGAAACTACCTAAGCTAGGCTGTGCATTCAAAATGAATACTAAGTCTTTGTGTCATGGTTTGTGGACTGTTTGGTGTCAAAAAAGAAAAGATCTGGTACAGTGATATATGCACCAAGGATCTCCTGCCAATAAAACCATTTATAGCCAATTTTAAGTAATGAAGAGTTATAGAAGAAGTGGATCGTTTTTTTTTTAAGGCATGTAGCTGTCCTAGAACTCACTGTGTAGACCAGACTAGCTCCAAACTCACAGAGATCTGCCTGCCTCTGCCTACCAAGTAGTGGGATTAAAGGTGTGCACCATAATGCCCAACAAAGAAGTGTATCTTAAATCAACCCTACCTGGAGTTGATTCTTGAATTTTCCTTTTGTCTGTCCTACAGGTGAAGTCCAAGCACCTGAAAAGTAATACTCAGGTCCTTTTGTTAGAAGTTTCATTGACGCAAAATATTAGTGAACAACATTTCCTCATAAAGCTTTCCAAAAACACAGCCACCAGCTGGGTATGGTGACATGCTCCTTTAATCCCAGGATTGGAGAAGCAGAGGTAGGAGGATCTCTGAGCTTTAGGCCAGCCTGGTCTACATATCCAGTTCTAGGACAGCCAGAGTTGCACAGTGAGACACTGTCTAAAAACAAATGAACAAGAAACCAAAACCCTCAACCATCAAAAACAAATACCGCTACAGACTGCTAGCAGACAACAGTTAAAAAGTTTTACAAGAACACAGCCAACAAAATCAATTCTTTAAAGAAACTAGTTTGCAAATTCAGTATTAATTTACAAACATATTTCTTTTTAAGATTTATTTTTATTTTAGTGTGTGTGCGCATGTGTGTGTCAGAGGGTGTCTGATCCCTTGGAGTTGCAAGTGATTGTGAGCCACCCAATGAAGGAGCTAAGAATCAAACCCAGGTCCTCTGGAAGAGTAGCCCTTACTCTTAACCACTGAGTTGCCACAGTGTCAAAAACAGGAGCAACACCAATATGTCGCAAAGTAAAAATTTACTAATGGCTGGGCCGTATTTTCAGTCTCCCCTAGAAGGAGACTGAAAATGACAGACTAGAGGCAGAGCAGTCTCTTTATACCAAGTGAGCAAGTGATTAAAGATGGAATTTGGCAGTTCTTGTTATGGTCATGGGAAAGGTACAGTTATGGGCTTATGGTCAGTTGATGTGGGATTTCCCTCTGTATGCTGTGATTACCATTAATGAACAAAGAAACTGCTTTGGACCTATAGCAGGGCAGAACTTAGGTAGGCGGGGAAGACAGAACTAAATGCTGGAAGAAAGAAGGGCAGAATCAGAGAGAAACCATGGAGCCACC